GCCCCTGAATCCCCAGCCCTCCATAATACTGATGTGTTATAGGTTAAATGGTTAACCAGTATAATTAGAAGAGTTTAAATGGCTAATCTTTTAAATGCTACTTAAATCCCTAGTTGGTATAATTGCAGAAAGCCTTCTTGTAACATTTGACTGATCTTTGACCAGTCCAAAAATATGGAGTCAGTTGCCTGGCTTGCCAGCCCTAGTTTGTGTGTCTTCAGACTATATTTACATTGGTAATATCTCTATAAATAGGCCTTACCTCTGTCAGGCCAGTGTGATTGGGCTAATGTTGATGTGATGATGGTGGGGGTATTCTTAATTTTTTCAAATAAAAATGGGTGTCTCTCCAAAGAAGAAATGAATAGATTACTATGAGAAAGTAATGATGTATTTGTGACCTTCTGAAATTAACTTATCACTGAAGTGACTAGAACACTAGGACTGAGAGAAATAGGGTATTTCTAGCAGTTAGTTTCCTTCTGATCTTGCCTTTTTAACCTGGATCTCTATTATTGTGTACTCTGGAAGTGTAGCAGACAAATTTAGATCATTTCTGTTGGTGTACACTGTGAAAAACCATTTGAAAGAGTTTGTGAGACAAAATTCATTCTAATGATGTGAACGCTGACTTCTTGTATTGACTGCCTATAGCTTTATAGTGGCTAGTCAGTCACACATTTCATATTATTTTTCTCTTCTAGGATCCTTCAGTTACACAAGTGACAAGAAATGTTCCACCAGGACTAGATGAATACAATCCATTCTCTGATTCCAGAACAGTAAGCACACCTGTTATCTGATCTTGTGAACTATTTTAAGTCTTTTTGACTTTTGGGGAAATGTTTATAGACTTTAGAACCTGCACAACTGGAAGTATGAAGAATTAACTAGAGGAAATGGAAGAGCTATTCAGGGTGCACCGATGGAGTTTTTTTGGTTGATATTGATGGCCGACTTTATTTTTTTAAGGAGCCATATCGGCTGATACTGATCTGATTCTAATATGCAGCCAGGTAGCTTGGAGACCAGCATCAGGCTGGTAAGTCTGGTGTGGGGGAAGGCATGGGAGGAGGGAAGGGGTGTGTGGATGGCAGATCAAGGCCTCTACAGTGAGGGAGGAAGTGGGGCTGGGGCAGGTGCTGCTCAGTCAAGGTGGGATATGGGATGGAGCGGAGAGCAGCTTGTCCTGGTGGGGGGGGGCTCCTGCCACTATGCACCCCAGGAGGGCATGGAGAGCATGTGCCCCCAAATCTGTGCCAGGTGAGGGTGGGCTGCTGCTGGGGCTGGGGGCTGCCCAGGGCTTTTCCCTGTGGTGGGGGGGCTGGGCTAGGCGGCACTTGTGGTGGGTGGTGATGGTGCTTGGGGAGGGGGCTGCAGCCACCCCAAAATCTGCCGTGGCCCCCCAATCCCCTCACCCAGCCTCTGCTAAAAAGAGCCTGGCGTAGCCTGCCCCCTCCCTCCACCCCACATGCACATGCTTTCCATGCCCTTCCAGGGTGTGCACAGTGGCGGGAGCTGCCCCTGCTGCCCCAGCCCCTCTCCCTCCCTTACTGCAGGGGCT